TGTACTTGGATGATAATAAAACTTTGAGTGCGACTAATCCATGCTATCATAGCAAGGAACAAGATGGCAAGGAGGCTCTGTCTCAATACTATGACACTGTTGCAGTTGATGCTACATATTCTGTCATTACACCACAAGCAACGACTGTGATATGTGAGGAGGGGGATGGTGGTTATGAAAACATGTCAGGTGGACAGGGGAATGAAGGTGTATATAAAACTATTGCCTCAGAAATATAACTTCATATACACATACAATATTGCTGCAATAACATTAAATTTTTACTATAAAAAAGGTAGCATTTGATATAATTTTTTTACAGTTTTTGTCATGACATAATGATAGCTAGTGTTATTACTGTTATACATGACATTTTTGCATCCTACTTTTTAAAAATCATTCAGTAAAAAATTCAATTTTGAAAGGAATCAGTTCAAATTTTCCATGAAGAATCAGTGTATGAGAAAAAATATTGAATTGAAGAATTCTCAGTTTTATAGCAATTTTGACAAAATATCCTGTATTATTTTACGCTTATTTGTAGTATTAAATTCGGTCAATTGTCTTTGGCCTGATTTAATACTGGATTTTTTAATGTAGTCCACAACAACACTATAAAAATGTGGTTATCGAAGTTAATTGAATTAATAATTGCAAAAGAGAATCGATTTAATTTTACCGTATTAATTCTTAATACAAGGAGCTCTTAGCCTTTTGCTGCCATTTCTCTCTTTTGTCCTTCTATTAATCTTTAACCGTTTAACGAGGTCTATTTGAGTTGATTATGGAAGAGCTATTGTTCCTCAAAGCACTTCTTTCCCTCTACTTTATAGCTTCATGCAATGGATCATGCTCAGATCTTAATTTTGGCAAGGATGGCTGCTGCATTAGATCTCCAGCCACTAATTGTTATAATAATGAAGATTATTGCTCCTGTGATCAGGAATGCTATGCCCAAGGCAACTGCTGCCATGACATTGCAACTACTGGCTGTTACCCTGAAGGAGTTACAAGTCAGGCAAATATTTTACATGCATAGATAAATACTCTCATTATTTTTTATAATAGAATGTAACTATGATTCAGACATTCGTCTTGTTGGTGGATCTAACGATAATGAAGGAAGAGTTGAAGTGTGTAGTAATGGTTTCTGGGGTACTGTCTGTGACGATCTCTGGGGACCTCCTGATGCTGCAGTTGTGTGTAGGCAGTTAGAAATCGATGGAAGTAATCATTAAAATAATTTTAGTAAAAAGTTTATATTTTTTAGTTTCTATTGCTCGTACTCGTGCTTATTTTGGTGCTGGTACTGGTCCTATTAACATGGACAATGTTAGGTGTACTGGAAATGAAGATACACTTGTCAACTGTACTTACTCATCTACTCATGACTGTGGCCATTCTGAAGATGCTGGTGTTACTTGTGGTGTAACTCCTCAGTGTAATAATTCAGACATTCGTCTTGTTGATGGATCTAATGATAATGAAGGAAGAGTTGAAGTATGTTTTAATGAATATTGGGGTACTGTCTGTGATGATTATTTTTGGACAACCTATGATGCTGCTGTTGTCTGTAAACAGCTAGGAATTAATGGAGGTAAGTGAAAATATTTGCAGTGCATAAGTTTACAATGGGCAGTTTCTGTGCCTCGAAGTACCACGTACTTTGGTCCTGGCACTGGTCCTGTTAACATTGGTTATGTATCCTGTACTGGAAATGAAAACAGCCTTTTTCAATGTGATGTGATTTATGATTTGACCTGTAAACATTCCTATGATGTTGGTGTTACTTGTGGTTTACCACCTATATGTAATAACACTGACATTCGTCTTGTTGGTGGATCTAATGATAATGAAGGAAGAGTTGAAGTGTGTTTCAATGAAAAATGGAGTACTGTCTGTGATGATGACTGGGACAGTGATGATGCTGCAGTTGTATGTAGGCAGTTAGGAATTGATGGAGGTAATTTTAAAATAATATTTACTTGAAAAATTGTAATATTTTAACAGTTGCTATTGCTCGTACTGATGCTTATTTTGGTGCTGGTAGAGGTCCTATTAACATGGACAATGTTCAGTGTACTGGAAATGAAGGATTACTTGTCAACTGTACCTATCGACCTAATCATAATTGTTTCCATTTTGAAGATGCTGGTGTTACTTGTGGTGCAACTTCTCAGTGTAATAATTCAGACATTTGTCTTGTTGGTGGATCTAATGATAATGAAGGAAGAGTTGAAGTGTGTAGTAATGGAACATGGGGTACTATTTGTGGCAATAGTTGGGACAGTGATGATGCTATTGTTGTATGTAGGCAACTGGGTCTAGGATCAAGTTAGCTAATCATATTTATAAACATTTATAAATGTTCTTTTATAGCTGGCATACATAGGATTGGATACTTTGGCCCTGGATCAGGCAGTATTGTAATGGCTAATGTACAATGTAATGGGACTGAAGATCTATTATTTAATTGTCTCCATTATACTACTCATCAATGTAGTCACAGTCAAGATGCTGGAGTCAGTTGTAGCGCTACAAGTGGTAAATAATTTATTTGTTAAGCACATTTTACTAGAAAATCATTCATAAATTACTCATACTCATTTCTGTTTTATAGGCTGTACTTCTGGTAGCATTCGTCTTGTTGGTGGATCTAATGCTAATGAAGGAAGAGTTGAAGTGTGTAGTAATGGAGCATGGGGTACTGTCTGCAGTGATTATGG